AGAAAGAAAAACCTGCGGTGGTAAAAATACCCATCGGTGCACCTCCTCCCTATGCTGAGCCTATCAAAGTGAGACATTCTCCAAATTATCAGAGGATAGGAGAATGTGTGAAATGATCTCATAATTCTTCAAATCTATAATTAAGGGCACGGTTGGCACCACTATTTCTGGCGTAGGAACAGCATCACTGCCTGTATCAACCACCCAAGAAACCTCTGCATCTCAAGACAGAACCGCCATGCTTCAATCTCCTGCAGTCGCCCTTTCGCAGCCTCCTCCATTACCACAGCTAAAAGCTGCTGTTACATCTCCGAAACGTCCAACAATGTCAGAATTAAGCGCAGGAGGGCAGCCATCATTGCCAGTGCCAGCTCAACCACCTAACCGCACTGTACTGCCGATTGCGACGTCTCCAAAGAGATTAAGACGAGCAGCTGGCCCAAAGAAGCAGCCACAGGTTAGGAATATAATGAACTATATAAAACTTCAAAGTATATTGACTAATAATGGATTTATCAATTAGCTTTTTGTACATTTGAGGCGTCACCCTCGCTTATGATAGCTTCTGATCAAAGCAAAGTGCTGGGGTGTGGAGAATGGGTGTTTACACAAATTTCCAACATTAAAAAAAAGCTTTGACTAATGGTTTTTGATCGAGTGTCTCATTCAGTTTATATATTTATTTTCAGCCGGGTGCAGACTGAAATGGAGTATCAAGCATGATCATCGTTTATTGAATAATTATAGTTTTTTTGTAATGAAGGATTTTTGTGTATTGTAAAAGCCTCTCAATAGCATTAAGATTAGAGTAAGATATAAGTTGCAACAGCCTATGGGACATAGAGCTTGTAAATACAACAATTTCTTGAGAAAGCCTAGTGATATAAACCATAAAAGAATAAAAGCAGTGCGTTTGTAACATCAATTTGTAGATGATAGCTTAGGATACGTATGCATAAGATATCTGGGAATTGTACAGGACGCTAAGCTTAGAAGCATATCAGGGTAAGGAACTAAAGAACGCGTACTAATTTGTCCAAAGAAAGCGTGTTGAAAGTAGTAGGAACATGATCCAGTCAGTCTCGTTAGGATCGTTTGATGACCTTTGATTTGTTCGCGAACTAAAGGTAATCGTCCATTTACTGACTTATTGGACAGATTTTCTCCGAGATCAAAGGATATCTCATACTTCATAAGAATCGGCCGATCTGGGTGCGCGGCCATTGCGCGGTATCGCAGTCAAATAAATTCTGCCTGTGGTTCGCAGTCATCTTTCCGGCACACTTGCTCGCGACTTCTGAAAACTCTAACAAACTCAAAGAAAGAAAGCAAATCAAAGTCGGAAGAAAAAAGTGCAGAAGGACTGGGACAAAGCCGAATTACGCCGAAGCGATACTGAACAGGGGGCCGCAACGCTAACGCCGCGCATTTTCGATTCTTATTGCGCTTATAAGCGTTATAAGGATCGGTTGATTCAGGTCGGACGATCTTTGGATTAAGATACCCGAAGCGTTGGATTCATGCCAGCACGCTCTTCCTTTGCACGTTCTTTGTCAAAGTGTAACAGAATGGTACTCACAATACAAGTTGTAGGGTAAATAAACTTTTCGCATGCACCCTAAGCTTCTAGGGGAAAAATCTCTTTCGCTAGGCATGTTTTCTTTCCAAAATGATTTTCTGGCAGCATTCTATCAACTTCAAAAGCAGTGTATAGCTTGCTGTATGAAGTTGTATCACTATGAAATTACTAGACCGCTAGCAACTGTAGGATCAAAAAAAGTATGATTTTGATGGCTTGTCGTTTATGATCTACTGGAAGAGAATTCTGTGCCGATATTTACGATTGATATTAGCAGTGGTGGATCAGTAACTTGCTCTGAAGTTTAGCAGCATCTTTAGGGTACTTATTATATTCTGCTGATTTAACAGTTGCAGGGAAGAGCCTTCTCCGATAGCTGCCCAATACTCAAAAGAAATGAAAAACGTGGCGAAAATTGCAGAATCTATTCCTTATCCAAATTACGACGAAACTACTAAGTTATACTCATGTGATTGCTCTATTCAGACAACTGTTTGCAGCGAAGAGGGGTATTCTAATGCAAGGAAAGAGCTTCAGGTAAATATTTTTCAAATTTGATTTTTCAAATGATGGCTTGTCGGATAAGTTTTTGCTATTTTTTGAACTCAGAAGAACTCACAGAAAGGTTTTTGGAACTGACTACATATTGATTGATAGAAGATATCTCCTTGGATGAAAAGTCACGAACCAAGCTAAAACT